AAACAAGGAGCTTCCCTACAACCCGGCTAACAGTACCTGGGACACGGTTGACATGGAAGAGCTGCCTCTTAGTGGGCTCTTTCTGCCTGATGTCTCTGCACGGAATGAGACCCCTGCTGCAATGGGTTGGCTGCTTCAGAGACCAGAGCCTGCTCGCCCTGGTGGCTCAGGAACAATGTGGAATAGGAAGTTGGGGACAGTAAATACAAGATGGAGCTCGTAGGCAGGCCAGAGCCTCTGTGTTAGGGCAGGGGGCTCCTTGAGCCCCTGTCCACGCTCCACGGACCTCCACAGAGCTCCTCTGGCTCTGCAGGCCCAGGAACACGCATTGATGGAGGCTGTAACACAGCTGAGAGGGCTGGGGCTCTGGGTCAGGGACAGGGTGTGTTTCACTATGGTACCCACCTGCTGTGTGACTATGGACAAGTTACTTAACCTCTCTGAGTCTTAGTCCTCTTATCTCAAAATAGAGATAATAGCATCAATTTTAGAGGATTTGTGCCAAGAATTCAAAGAAATTATGTATGAAGATATCTCCTATGATCCCTAGGATTATAATTATCTATAGCTTTTATCGACATGTCTCACAGATGCCAAGAATGGAACAAATTATTCACAGGTACTCAGCATCTTCCCCAGAAGCCAACTCAAATATCTATTCCCTGCAAAGTGCTCCCTAGACAGTGCTCCCTGGAGCGCCAGCTGAGCTGACTGAGTGCTGAGGGCAATCAGACTTGGAGCCCTGCTGATGTGGGTAAAGGTGTTCCTGCAGAGAGCATGGGGTGAACAAAGGAGCTGAGTGGTGAGGAAGCTTAGAACAGTCAAGGGCAAGGAGGCCAGAGAGATAAGGCCATGCAGGACCTCAAACACCACACGTAGGAGGAATTTAGGTTTAGCCCTGAATTGACCACGCGTAGGAGTGCACTGGAGATACACAAGTCACAATGGTACTTCAACAATACAATTGAGAAAGAAGTGATCATGAGGCTGGAGTCAGGGCCTCCAAGTACAGAAGACATTAGGGAGGTGGAACCTACAGGCCTTAGGATTCTGGCTTTGGCAGCCAATGGATGGAGGTGCTTTTTTTTTTTTTTTTTAAATGGGAGAAAACTGGCTCTTTATTTATTTTTAATCTTTATTGTTGAAAGTACTACATATGTTCCCTTTTTTCCCCCCATCAACCCTATCCAGCCCACCCCCACACACCACCCCAGGCCCTCACCACCCCACTGTCTGCATCTAAGGGTTATGCATATATGCATACAAGATCTTTGGTTGATTACCTCCCACCCACCTTCCCTCTGAGATTCCACACTCTATTCCACGCTTCCATGTCTCTGGACCCACTCCATTCATCAGTTTATTTTGTTGATTAGATTCCACATATGAGTGAGATCATGTGATGCTTGTCTTTCTCTGACTGACTTATTTCACTTAGCATGATACTCTCCAGGTCTGGATGGAGGTGTTTTTGCTGAGATAAAGGGTGAGGGAGAGGGGTAGACAGCTGTAAGAAGGACAAGGATTTTCGTTTGGGACATGTGAATTTTGAGGAGCCCAGTGGGACATCCAAGTAGAGATGTTCCATAGGCATTTGTCTACACTGGCTGGAAGCTCAGGAGACAAGCCTTGACAAGGAACACAGATCTGGATGTCATCCATGTACAGGTGATACTTCAAGTGATGGAAACGGCTGGGCTCACTTGGGAAGGTATGTAGGGAGGACACGAGGTAGGGCTGGAATTCTAGGGAATAACTCCCTCCACCTCTCACTCCTCTAGGACGCAGATGGGTAGAAGGTAGAAGATCAATGCTTGGTGGCTCCCTCTTCTCATCAATCCTTCTACAGGTGCCCTGAGCTGCCTTCTTCCTGGTCTCATGGCCTGGGTGTCTAAGAAGAAGCCTACACCCCATCATGCTGGTTCACAGACTCCTCAGTACTAGGGCTCTAGGCCTTGACCACCCAACAACAGAGAGCCTCTTTCTCCCACAAACCATAATTCCTGTGCTCGTACCTTCTCCAGGGTCCCCCTGGGTGAGGTGGCATCCAAGGTTTAATGGAGTCTAACCGAATTCTGGGTTTACTGGCATCTAATACCCACCCCCCCCCAAAAAAAGACCCAATATATCTTCTTATAAATATACTAAAGGCCCAGTGCACAAAATTTGTGCACAGATACGGTCCCTAGTGGCTTCTGGCTGCCGACTGGGGCCTCCCTTCCCCGGCTGCTGGTTGCTGGCTGGGGCCTTCCTTCCCCAGCTGCCAGCTGGGGCCTTCCTTCATTCCGTGCCGCCCCCTGGTGGTCAGCGTACATCATAGCGAGCGATCAAATTCCCAAGGGGACACTTTGCATATTAGGCTTTTATATATATATATAAAAGGCTAATATGCAAAGTGTCCCCTCGACGGGGAGTTTGACCAGGGGGTAGGGCCGGCCCGCCAACCACTTTCGGCCCTTTCCCCCAGCCAGCCCTGTTCCCAATGGGCCCCCCACACCATGATCAGGGGCGGGGCTGGCTGGCCGACTTGCTGCATCCCCTCCCCCCAGCTGGCCCAACCTGATCATTCCTGATTGGGGTGGGCCAGCCAGACCACATCCATGCATGAATCTGTGCACCGGGCCTCCAGTCTGCCAGTGCGCATCACAGCTACTGGTCGAACGGTGAATGGTCGGACACTTTGGATATTAGGCTTTTATTATGTAGGATTGGAGCAATCAGTGGGAAAGGGGCCTTGGGGAGGAAAAATGGGAGAGGGAGGGAGGGAAGGAGGGAGGGAGGGAGGGAGAGAGGGAGAGAGGGAGAGAGGGAGGGAGAGAGAGAGAGAGAGAGAGAGAGAGAAAAGACTATGACCATAGATGCCAAAAGAGAAAGGGCAGACAGAGATCAGTGTCCCAAAATTCAAAGAAAGGGCGAATATCAGGCAATCGGTGTTTCACATGCTGCAGAAAAGTGAAAGAATATTATGCCTGAAAGCTGTCTTCTGGCTTTACAGGCTGACTGGCCACTGGTGACCTTACAGCTGCAGGATTGGTGGACAGGAGGGGGAGGGGAAGGGCAAACTTTGTGCGTTCAGGAGGGCATGGGAATCAAGGAAGTGGAGAGAAACTGTCTGTTCAGCAGCTTCACCAGGAGGGAAAAGAACTAGATCAGCAGTAGACACTCAGAAGGGCCTTGGATCCTGGGGGAAGACTTGTAAGATGAGCTAGAACAGAGCTGTGTGTGAGCTCAGGGGTAGGTAGAGCCCAGAGAGGTATACACAGAATGAAAGGGACAGAACTGCAACTGAGGGCACATAGGGCACAGGGCTGGGAGTCACGAGATCAGTCTTGGGCAAGAAGAAATCAAAGGGAGGGGGCAGGAGTGGGTCTGGGCAGATCTGAGTGGTGCTCTGGGAGCAGGAGCCAGGGGGTCCTGAGCAGCAGCCTCAGCGTTCTCTGAGGTGCAGAAGGAGAGGAACTGGCTAATACAGGGAGGGAGGCTGCGGGCCAGGGCTCTGGGGAGACGGCTTCCATGGGAAGGGGAGACTGGCACCAACTGGAAACCCGGGAGAGGCTCACCCCCAGAGGTGACAGTCCACCTGGGGGGAGAGACCACAAGTGGGCAGTGGCTCCAAGCCTGCCCAGACACCGTAGCAGAATCACAGGCTGGACAGGCAAAGCCCAGAGTGGCGAGTTACCTGGGAGTTCCCCTTTGGAAATCGTGTCTGGGTCCAGCTTGTATGTGTCCTGAAGCCTCATCAGGGCCTTGGCGGCTCCCGTTTCATCCTCGTCAGTGGGGAAGAACTGCCGCTGTACTGAGAGGTTGGCAATAAAACCTTCCAAATGAGAGAGTGAGAACAAGAAGTTACCCTTGATCCAGGGGCAGAATTCCACCTGGGACCAGAAAGGTATTCACTGGAGTGTCTGCAATTTCCCTGCCCCTCCGTCAAAGGTTATTTCCCTTCCACCAGAAAGCCCTCCGTCCCCCCTCCAGTCCATGGGGACCTCTCCTTTTGTGCTCCTCACTGTAGTGCTGTTCATTTGGAACTGAACAGAAAAATGGCCCCATACACTGGTTGACATGGGGGAGTCTTGGCTCCAAAGCACTCAGTCAGACCAGTGGAGATGAAGGCATGGAGGTCAGAGAGGGCAACTCAGAGGGGCACTAGAGAGGAATCAGGGAGGCCTTGCTGGTCACTCAGGGGAAAAGGAATCACATGGAAAACCCGGATCCAGGAATATTGGGCTGACCAGGTAAACACAGACTTCCAGCCTTCATCTCAAGTTGAGGAGCCCGAGGAATAGAGGTTGTCTACTCAGGGAGCCCAACTGACCACTCATTACTGACCGCTGGCTCTTATCATCCAGAAAAATGATGATGACAGTCCTAGAGGCATGGTACTATCTGCACCCCCTGGATTAGGGACCAGGTATCATGTAGCCAGGCCAGGCAGGTGAGGCTGCACCAGCCCAGCATGGTTCCGAGACCACACTGGGCCTTGCTATGCTCTCTAGGGTACTCCCCCACGCCCAGACCTGCTGTGACCACAGGGCAGGAGCTCCCCAACTGTAGTGCTCAAGACCACGGCCTGGAGGCTGGGAGAGCTCCTGACCTCAGAAGTACCCCAAGGAGGCTGTTCTGGGACTGCAAGCCCTCGCTGTAAAGCAAGATCTGCACCTCTTGCCACCTCAGGACTCCAGCAGGTGGAAGACCCTTCGTGCTGACTCAGGGGTTGCAATCCTGCCTGTGACCTGAGAACTGGGAGGGGAACTCCAAAGCCATTTCTTCCCAGCCTCTTCCCCAAAGCAGCAGCACCCATAGCCACCTACTCTCACAGCCTCGGGCTCAAACATCCACTCCTAGTCTTGCCTGGGGACTCAGGGACCAAGAAGTTGCAATGCTATCTTCCTCATGACTGCACGGTCAGGGACGCTAGTTTATAATCTAGTACAAAGAAAAATTACCCCCCAAAAAAGCCACACTGTCTACATGTCCCCTCATTTCAGGGGCAAGAACTCTGAAAGGTAGAGGTGAAAAGAACCTACTGCTCTATGGGCCTATCTTGTCTCCTCCAGATAATGATAAGATTTTCCAAAGAAAACAGATGCTGATGGTGGGGGTGGGGCATGGAAAACAAGAATGGAGAGTGGGAGGTCACCCAAGCAGACAGGAGGTCATCCGAGCAGGTGGTCATCTAAGCAGGCTTATTCTTCCACAGAGCAGAAGGAACAGTCAGTTCTGAGCCACAGGCCCAGGCTGGGAGGCAGGGGTCTGGGAAAGGCAGCCACAGCTTCTGGAAGCAGTGAGCTCACTGGGCACGGCTCCAGCCCGGCTGAGCTCACCAATCTCTCCCCAGAGGCCACCCTGCCTCCAGCCAAGCCCAACCCAGTCTGGCCACATGGACTGAAATGCCTCAGCCAGCGAAACAAGTAGAGTGAAGTTAAGCAGCATTCCCAACTCAGGGAGAAGAGGCAGAGTCCTGGAGGCTGAGTCCAGGGCTGGGAGGCAGGAGGGCCCACCCCACCATCTCCTGTTGAGAGAAAAATGTTAAAGCATAGAAAGTTCTATCACAGTGAAAGCAGGAAGCACAGTTAAAGCTTTAAAGAAGTTCATGGACCTGCAAATACCACTTCTAGGGATAAATCCGAAGAAAATGACCAAAGATGTATGTGCAAGACAGCTGATGATGTGGAAACAATGCCACGCCCACTGACTTGACCAGTTTACACAACATCAGTATAACACATGACTGCCCAGCCATTAAAATGATGTTTCAGAAGAATATTCAATGGACATATAGAGAAGCTGCAAAGTTCAGGAAAACAGTATAATCTTATGTCACAAATCCGTCAAAAGATATGTTTCATATCTAAAAATATAAATGAAGGGGGAAAAAGTTAAAAAAACAAAATAAAAGATATGAATGGGAATGAATTTAGATGAGGCTTGAGCTGGCCCCATCACCCAGCCACCTGACTCACTTCTGTTAGATCATTTGGTCCCTCAGAGCAAGTGAGCTTACATCCCTGATACATATGTATGGCTCCTTTTTTTTTTTAAGTATATGCATGTGTAAAAAAACTGGAATTTGAGTGCTTATCACTAGGCAATTGGATTAAGAAATATAATTTCCTTATGTGATTATTTGTGTATTTTCCAACTTTTCATAAAAACGTATTACTAAAGTATAATTAGAAAAAAAAAATCCTACCCAAAAAGAGAAGTGAAAACACTAGGGAAAGGCAAGAACTGATTACTAGCACATATTCAAAAACAAAGACACCCGATTGCCAGGTCCCACAGAGGAGAAAAGAGTTGTGAGGTGACAGGGCACATGTTCACACACTGCACATGCCCACCCACACCCAGTCCCAGGTCACGTTCACACACACACTCCCCAGGCGCTAGCACAGGAACATGCCAGCTCACCCAAGCACCTGCTCACGGCCCCTCACCTGCAGCGGAGTCCTGCAGGACAAGGTCCTCCAGCGTGGACCACTCTGTGTTCAGCCTCTTTACCAGTTTGTAGGCATTCACAGGGTGGGCCAGGTAGCCCTCGGGGTCAGCAGCCGACTTGCTGGTCAGGGCTTCCATTTTGCTGGCCCAGCTGTGGAACCAGAGGAAAAGGAAGACTAACACACCCACCCACACAGGTCTTGACCTGTGGTAATTTTCCTGGTGAGATTTCGGACGCTTTCATCAAGAGGCAATAAAAAATGAATACAGCCCGGCCAGTGTGGCTCAATGGTTGAGCATTGAGCTATGAACCAGGAGGTCACAGTTTGATTCCCTGTCAGGGCACATGCCTGGGTTGCAGGCTCAATCCCCAGTAGGGGGCGTGTAGGAGACAGCTGATTGATGTCTCTCTCTCATCACTGACGTTTCTCTCTCTCTCTCTTTCTCTCTCCCCCTGCCCCCTCCTCTTCTTTCCTCTCTGAAATCAATAAAAAAATATGTATATATTTTTAAATGAAACCCTAGCTGATTTGACTCAGTGGATAGAGCATCAACCTGAGGACTGAAGGGTCCCAGGTTCAATTCCAGTCAAGGGCATGTACCTAGGTTGTCAGTTGCAGGCTCCATCCCTGGCCCCAGTTGGGACACGTGAGGGAGGCAACCAATCGATGTGTCTCTCTCACATCGATGTTTCTCTCTCTGTCTCTCCCCCTCTCTTCCACTGTCTCTAAAAATCAATGGAAAAACATCCCCCAGTGAGGATTAACAACAACAAAAATGAATACATAACTCTCCACGATCCTTCCAGCCCCTTAATCTAGATGAGATCTGGGACCCCAATGTATACAAAGAGACTCTTAAATAGAAAGGAAAAAGCAGAGTCCTCAGCCCACTAGAGCCACCCTGGAGGACTGGCATGAAGTAACTGCCTGGCCAGCCACACAGTGTACTCTCGATGGCTTCCTCTTATGGGCACCCCCTGGGGGGCAGAAGGGCTGACTCAGGTAGGTGTGGGGCCTTGGGACATTGGACACCTCTTAATCTTGGAGAGCTTGGCTTCCTCCACAAGGATGTACTCCTTCAGAGACTGCACCAGGTCCTTCTCTGCGTAAATCAGGTCTGTCATGTGCCCTGCGAGGGAGAGGAGAAAGGCCCAGTGAGAAGTGGGTGAGAGGTGTCCAGCCCCCTTCCTGGGGCATAGAACAACCTCACAGAGGCAAGTCCCTGGGCCACGAGCAGGTCAGCTCTCAGGGGGACTTCGAGTTAAAGGGGACCTAGGCCCTCACATGGTCCTGGCCCCCAGCTTCAGGAAGAGAGGTGAGGTCCCAAGGGGATATGAGGTAAGTGCACTGGGGGTGCCTGAGGGAAGAAACCCCAAATCTCATTCGTTCACCATCACACAGATGGGTCATGTCACTGGAGCCTGGACATCCTGGAGGCTTCAGCACATGGAAACAAGCTCTGAGTCCTTAGGCCAGAAGGAGAAGAGCTGGACCCACCAGCCACAGAATGTTCCCTGCTCAGAACCATTCTCTGGTCTGGGAGGGAGACAGGAAAGTCAGGCGGAGCCTACGCTTCCCAGGGAGGGGGCCCGGCTGAGACAGCTGATTCCCAGACAACCAGGTCATCAGGGCCTCAGAGGGGAACTGGCAGCTCTGCAAGTGCCACTCTCCCTAGAACTGGTCAAAACCCTGGCACTTGAGCCAAATATTGCTCAGGTAGGTGGTAGTCCTGTGGGCACATACCGATAGAGGTGAAGAATTCAGCCTGCACACAGCCCAGGACGCCAAACCAGGCCACCAGCAACACGGACACCTGGAGTTTCATGGTCACAAAGGGCAGTGTCTGCAAGGTATTTGGTGACAGGCACTGGATCAACAGTAAAAAAAAAAAAATAGGTGAGGAGACACCTACACATGTGCACTGCACACACACACATTCAAACATGCAAGAGCCCTGACCTAGCACACGGAAGCTAAGGATACTCAGGACCATCGGGGGGTAAACCAGGGCCACATGCCCTTGGGAGAGACTCTGCCCTCCTGGCTCCTGGCCGCCACCAGCGATATGGGAAAGCTAACCTGCATGGGGCACCATCACCTCTGGTCCTAACAATCTGCAAGTCTGAGATTCTGGCCCACACCTTCTTGTCTCACAGACTGCTCATCTATTTCCGTCTTTCCTTCCGACTCCATGCACCAAGACAGCGCCAGGTGCTGGGGACCCAAATATAACACGCAGCCCCCGCCCATAGAAGACTGACATCAGAGGAGAGACAATGACAGAGAAAGAAACTGACAGACTATGACTCCAGGGACCCACACCCAACATGAAGCGTATGGCTGATGGCTGGCCAGAAGAGGAATAAAAACTGACCCCTGCCCGTCTGTACCTGGCCACAGCGAGAGCAGTCTGGGAGCAGGCACTCTGGGCAGACACTGCTCTTCCTGTAGTGAGGCTCCGTGGCCGGTGCTGTCCTCACTGGCAAGGCACCATTCACAAATATTTACTCAAGACTCACATATGCCAGGCACTGAACGAGGCACACCGGATACAAAAACAAATCAGCCACAGAGGACCGAAACCCCAGGCTGTGCTGGGCTGTGCTGCTGATGGGTAAGAGGCCAGCTGCTATCTCCTCATCAGCCTAGAAGAGCCAGACCAGCTCTGAAGGCAGCAGGCACAACCTGGGCAAGCCCCTCTGGCAGTGGACCCGAGTACACAACTGAGCCGTTTTGAGCTCAGCCACGCAGCCCCGGGCATGATGGAGGACCAGCACCCGTCTGAGCCCAGCACTGCCAGTCCCTCCTCTTCCTGCTCTATTTCGGCCAAGCCCCACAGGAAATTTACTTAAAGCAAACAAGGAAAATAAAGAAGACACAAATGCTCCCTTGCCCTGCCCTGCCCTAGTCAGTTGCTCAGTGGTTAGATCGTCTACACATTCCTCACCTCACCTTTTCAGAAGAAATTATGGTCTAAGGCACGTACCTGGGTTGCAGGCTTGATCCCCAGCACTGGTTGGGGCACATGCAGGAGGCAACCAATCGATGTGTCTCTCTCACATCGATGTTTCTCTTTCTCTGTCTCTCCCCGCTTCCACTCTCTCTAAAAATCAATAGAAAAAATATCCTCGGGTGAAGATTAACAACAACAAAAAATGCTTCCCCACAAAACGTAAGCCTTATCGAACATCTCTAAGTCTGAGCTGACTAATGTTAGTTCATCACACCCACCATTCCTCACCTCACCTTTACAGAAGAAATTCCAATCCACTACCGTTCCAGGCTAGGCTCCCAGAGGCTCAACCACAACCCCCACCCCCAAACGGGTTCTTGTATCAGAAAGAGGAGAGAAGTAAATGACATCATTTGTTCATGTCCCTGACCAGTGTCTACAGAGCCAGCAGCACGCCCATCAGTGCCCTACATGTTGGGGGCCCAGAGATACATGGGACAAGAGCTCTCAGCCCAGAATCTGCCATCAGGTAGGGAGTATTGTGCGAAGGGGTGCATCATGGAGTGAGGGCAGCAGAGGAAAGCAAGGCACAGAGAGAAGGGGAGTGAGACTGGCCAGCTCTGAGGTGGGGTCCGGGTCCTCCCTGTTGCAGCCACAGGTCTGCACCCAGGCTTGCCACACTGCATCTCCGCCCAGGACTCCAGAAGGCCTTTCTTGTTGCTTACACAAGTCCTTTCCACGGGCGTTGTGTCTGTTCCTTATCTCTCAAGAGGCTTGACTAGCTCAGGAGAGCAGGTTTTATATGTTTGTAGGAGACCAGACCAGACACGGTTGGAAGTGGGGGACCCCAGCGCTTCTCCCCTGTGTGTTGCCAGTTGCACAAATTCAAGGGAGGGAGAAGCTTCTTCATTCCTTTCAAGCCACCCTGGTGATACTGTCCACGGTTTGTGCCTTACAGCACATAGGAAGAAGCACCCAGGTTCCTTCATTATGTAAAGACCAGCTGTCATTTCCCTGGAATGTGTTGCCTGGCTTAGACTGAGCCCATCCACAAATCCCAGCCTGGAGGCAGAGCTGCAAAGAATATCAGATAGGGTTCTGGGAAATGGCTTCCCAAGAGCGAGCAAAGTCCTGCTCTGATGGAGGAGGGGGACAACGACTCTGCTGGCCCAGAGAGCGAGACACCCCCAAGGAGCCCCCAAACTGCCACAATCAACACTGCCACCGCAGGCATGGGTGCCCTGGAGCCCCACCATTTTCCTGGTCTTACGCCACTGAACACTAAAGGCTTTGTACAAAACGGGTCAGGCTGGGAGGAAGCAACATCCAAGACAGGCTGTGTCCCACAGTGTGGGCAAGGCCAACCACCCACATGCCAGCTACCTGTACTCAGAGCTTACTTGGGACAGAGTAGACAGGAGTTTGTGTGCCTGCCCTATGCCCCCACAATGTGTCCAGGGCTGCTGGAAGCCCTCCCAGGTGCCCTCAGAAATCCATGTTGGCCTGGAAATGGGCAATGTGAAACCTCTTTTTATGAAAAACAAAGTGGCATTGAGCCAGAACAGAAAACCAATACTGAGTTTTATTTGAGCTGCATCCCGAGTTTAGAACCATGTCTGGCCCATATCAGGCACTCAACAAATAATACTTGACTGCAGATTTGTTCAAGTTATGAAAACTACCACAACAGAAAACTGCATTTCTTCCCCTACAGTGGATTGTTGTGGATTGCATAAGAATGGATACCATATGCATATTAACATGGAGTGAAGATCAAAGCATACTGTTAAGTGAGAAAAGCAGGCTCCCAAACATATGTACTCTATGCTTTCATTTTACATGGAAAAATGTATTTATATACGTGTGTGTATGCATATATATGTAAATTTATAAATATACACATACATATGCAAGAAAAAAGTCATAAACCTAGTTGTATCTTGGAGAAATACTTTTGTCCTCCTCTTTATGCTTATTTGTATTACCTAAACTTTCTACAAGGAGCTCTAGGGAAATCTGGAACATATTTTCTGATATGCTTAAAATGAAAAGAAAACAAAGCAGGCCCTCTCCAACAGACTCCAGAGCAGCCCTGGCAGCCCAAGTTTGGACCCCCACAGGGAGGTACTCCAAATCCTGCCAACACCTCAGTGACAGTGATCCACCCACCAGATGACTGGCACTGCTTGTAAGCACAAGGCAATTCCAAGACATACAATCAGAGTCCCCAACAAGCCCTCTCTTTGGAAAGGACATTTACAACCTGGCCAAATGGCCGTGGAAAGATGTTTCCAGCTGCAAACCAGCAGCGAGCGTCCTTAGCTTCTCCCCTTACCTCATCAGGCAGAAACCTCTGCCAAGCTCCCAGCTGCAGCCCAAATGCAACAGCTTGCCTTCTAACAATATATTTAACAGCCTAGAGACAGAACATGGGTTTGCTGAGAACAGGTCTTGCTTGGCACTGAACAAGAGGCTGCCTGCCTCTGTAAAGGAGCCAAACCTGCCTGAACAGGGCTCCCCCCAGCGGCTCTGCCTCCCAACTCCAGGATGGAAAAGTCAAGAGGACGGGCGTGCTCAACCTAGACTTGTGCAGAGGTCCCAGCAGGCCCCGCCAGGCCCACGAGCTGCTGTCACTGGCACCCCAGGGAAGGATGGGAGGCACCTACTCTCCTTACCTGATGTCATGCCTCAGTCATCACCTGGTCTGAGCCATCCCCAATTCCCTCCTTGCTGCCATGCTGGCCCCGGCCTGCACTGCTTTCTCATCTCATCTGACCTCCCACCCACCTCTGCTCTACAAAGCAGCCAGCATGATTTACTGCAGCCCCTCCTTTGGTCTCAGTCTCACTAAGAACCCTCCAAAGGCTCTCCAATGCCCTCAGGATAAAGCCTAAACTCCTCAGCCATAAGAGCCTTTTGAACTCTGCGTGACTTGGCCCCACTGCCTTCTCCAGCCCCATCTCATGACTCCAGGTTTCATACCTTCAACTACCACCTCACAAGAAAAATATTGTCCTTCATGGAGAACCTAATGAAGGCTAGGTGTTCATCTCTATCTATCTTTACACTCTCTCTGTCCTGTCCATGAACATGTAGATGCGTACTTCCCACTTGGGAACCATCAACACCCCAGTCTCCTGCTTCAGTAAACAGGCAACAAAGCAGCAGAAAAGGCTGTAAAAATCGACCTGCAAAAGCCCAGTTGGTTATTCAGTCACTGTCTTGGCAGAGACTTAGCAGCTGAGACTAACTCCCAAGAAGGAACTCCACACAAGGACACAATCCACAGGCCACTGATTTGGATGCACCCGACGTACTGTCTCAAACTCTCTTGGCCTCACCTAGCTCCTGGACCACTGACTCGCCTCAGACCAAGTGGAGGAGACTGTCGGGCTCCAAATCTCTGGCTCTCCCCACTACTTTGGGACTCCAATGACACGCCACATCCGCCTTCCCCGTGGCTGCTGGAGGGCCTGGCAGTGCACCCCAGGAGCAGAGGGAGGTAACTCCTCATGAGACAGCTCTGACCAGTGAAGGGCAGAAGACAGAGGAGGTCAGCAGATGAATTTCCTCTCCAGGCCTCCACTGAGAAACTGTTCTGCCACATGGACTTTCTGTAGAGCTCACCCAGAGATGGCCCACATGGCTGAACAACCGGTGCTGCTCTGTGCAGACTAGGCAGCTTGCTAAAGCGCCATCCTGAATTTGCTTCCCATCCTTCTCTGCCTCAGTTGCCTTTCCCTCACTCTTGCTGCCCTGCAAGTGCACCTTCCAATAAAGCCAATGGTTCTCAACCTTCTGGCCCTTTAAATACAGTTCCTCATGTTGTGACCCAACCATAAAATTATTTTCGTTGCTACTTCATAACTGTAATGTTGCTACTGTTATGAATCATAATGTAAATATCTGATATGCAGGATGGTCTTAGGCGACCCCTGTGAAAGGGTCGTTCAACCGCCAAAGGGGTTGCGCCAAAGGGTTGAGAACTGCTGCAATAAAGCATTCAGCACTTAAGCTCTGCCTCAAGCTGGTTTCTGGGAACTAGGCTAAGATAACCACTATATTTATTTCCAAAAACCTTTCATTTCTACCTTCAAACCTCACCCAAATCTTGTAAACAAGATTATCATCTCCATTTCAGCTATCGATATTTATAAAAGCCCAGCGACCCTTACAGCAGAACGACCAAAATGACCGGTCGCTATGACACGCACTGACCACCAGGGGGCAGACATTCAACGCAGGAGCTGCCCCCTGGTGGTCAGTGCATTCCCACAGCAGGAGCACTGCTCAGCCAGAAGCCAGCGCAGCGGCCCTGGCGGGAGCCTCTCCCACCTCCGTGGCAACGCTAAGGAGCGGTGAGCCAAGCAGTAAGGAGTGAGCAGGGAGGCGGTGAGGAGCAAGCAGGTGGGCAGTTAGGAGTGAGCAGGCGGGCAGTTAGGAGCGAGCAGGCAGGCAGTTAGGAGTGAGGGGTCCAGGATTGTGAGAGAGTGCAGGCCGGGCTGAGGGACCTCCCCCGCCCCCCATGCATGAATTTCGTGCATCGGGCCTCTAGAAGATAGATAACTGAGGCTAAGCATTTCCTGCACATCTGGCATGCTATAGAAAATCACTGGCAGAGCTGAGACTTAAACCCAAAACATACTTTCCACTAAATACTGCTGCCATTCAATCCCCATCAGTAACATCTGTTGGCTTACAGCACAAGGTCCTCCCAAAAAGGGGAGCCACACTTTGCCTGGCACAGCAGGCCTGCTCTGGTCAAGGACTTTATTGTGACCCACAATGCAACTTCATGACATCCCTGGTAGGTCCTACCAAAAGGCAGACAGTGACATGGACCCAAAAGAGAGGAACATGGTGCCCTGAGTGCAGGTGATAGACACCCCTGCCCTAGACACCCATCACAAATGACCTCACAAATGACCAGCCAGCCCAGCTCAGGGCAAGGCAGTATAGTCCAGCAGGCAGGCACACCCACCCTGGGGCCAGACAGCCCGAGCTAAACCTCAGCTCCACCATGACTTCCTGGCTTTGTGACCATAATGCTATGCGTCTCTGAGCCTCAGGTTTCCCATCGATATAGTGGTGATAATATCAGGACCTACATTTCATAGGGCTGTTGTGAGGATTGAATGAGATGACAGAGGTCGGTGGGCAGCCCAGCAGCACCAGGCACAATGTATACCAGTCATCAGCATGAAGGGTACTGCAGGAACATCAGTGGACCTGAATCAGCCAGCTGTCCAGCTGATCCCTGGAGAGGAAGAAGGTCCAGTCTAGGGAACAGTGAAGATGAAAACAAGGCAAAAATTGGGCAATCTCCAGGTCCCAGGAGTACTAAAAAAGAAGAAACATTCGTTCAGGAAAGAGGGAGTTAGGGGGAGTTAGGGAGTTGTGGCTCTCTCACAATCCAGGACCCCTCACTAACTAGCCAACATGGAATAACCCTGGAACTGGTCAATTATTGGCTCTGTATCTCACCAAGGAAGGGAAGTTCTCTGGCAAAAGGTAGGGCACTGGGCCAATACCCTAGGACCGTGGTCGGCAAACTGCGGCTCACAAGCCACATGCGGCTCTTTGGCCCCTTGAGTGTGGCTCTTCCTAAGAGCCTTAGGAGTACCCTAATTAAGTTAATAACAATGTACCTACCTATATAGTTTAAGTTTAAAAAACTTGGCTCTCAAAAGAAATTTCAATCGTTGTACTGCTGATATTTGGCTCTGTTGACTAATGAGTTTGCCGACCACTGTCCTTGGAGCTCATGTATTTCTATGCCTCTGACCTGCTCACTCCAAGTTTCTACAAGTACAAGGCCTAAGGATCTTGGTCACACCCTGGCCCTCAGGAGTTCTAGGTACAAAATAGGCTATATTCTAGCAAGCACTTGCTGAAAGGGTTAGAGCAGTGGCTGGTCTGTGATCAAGCTCAGACAGATCCTACCTGAGCCGGAGTACTCACTAGCCAAACACCTAACTTAATCCTCTGCGTTGCAGTGATACCACTTAAAAACTCTCTTCCACAGCTCCAAGAAGTCTAGGCTATATTTTTCATTCCCCTCTGCTCTTTCTAAGAATAAAAACTCTATCCCTCATTCCACGTCCCCAGCACAAACCCAAGGCCACAGGAGCCACCAGCCAGCCCTCTCTGCTCTAGGACAGGCTGGTGTCCCAGACTGGAGTACTTCAAAAGTCCAAATTGCTAGATTTGAGCAACTTTCTGGATCCAGCTGCACGTGCCTGCATCACAGCATTTCCTGCCAACCTCCATCTGCATAAGATTAAACTCTTGACAGATCCCAGGATCCAGGGACACACCCACCAGCCCAAGCACACTATCAGCCAACGTGGCCACAGATGGGCCTCAGACCCTCCCAATAATGTAGGAGGGCAGAGTCAAAAAGCGAGGCGCTCTCAGGAAATGAGTAGATCCCAGATTCCCTCACCCCACTCATTCCTCAGGGCTGCACCCTCGCAGTCTCTCCTTCTGAAAAGTGCTCGCTTCTGGGCTCCTCCCCTGGCACATGGCCAGCTGCCAGCGTGAAGCAACAATCTCAGAGAGATTATGAGCTACCCATGGGCAAGAATAGTGCTGCCACCTCCTCCTGCTCCACCCTCTTTCCGGCCCCAGGCATGTTCTAAGCAGAAGCCAGGCACACAGGATGTCCTCAAGGAATAAACAGAAATCAGCTATGGCCAGGCTAAACCAGCAAAGTAAATACTCCCCTGGGCATCCCATTTCAGAGCCTGCAACAGGGCAGAAGGGCCTATCAGAAGCCACAGACTAGTCATCACCACGTCTGCCTGCTGAGACCTACGGTGGCCCAGTATGACAGCATCTCTGGGATGAGGCCCCCAGCCAACTCGCTCCATCCTTGCTACGTGGCTTCCTTGGCAGGGCCACATAGTGGACATGACTGGCCGTCTGAGAATAAGGAGGCACTGCAAGAAAAGGATTCACAGCCCAAAGATCTGGTGAGCAGAAGAGGTGAAAAAAGAAGCTGAGCCCTGAGGCCCCGAACCACAGTGAGAGCACTGAATCCTGGACACTTCAGGAGTAGTTTAAGCACAAGCCAAAGGAAATCTTGGTTCATTTCATAGAGAACTAAACTATGGAATCTGTTGCCCCAGATGTGACACGGGCTGAGAAGAAGCAACAGCTTGCAAAAACATTCTATAAGTGCCGAGGTGAACAGGGGATCTCTGCAAACCCTGAGACACTTGAGAATGCCCTACGTTACAGAGTGACATTCCCCATCCTCCTGCAGAAGGGCTGAGGCTGCCGGGCTTCAGATGGTTTCCATCAAGAAACACAAGCCCGAGGTGTCACTCTCGAGCAGAGGACACAGATCTCAGCCTTGGAAGGGACTCTGCTGTTCTACAGCATCTTAAAGATGTCCGATTAGAATGCAGAGGCCAGGGGCCCACCCCTGTTGTCCTGGTCCACTCTCCTGTTGCAAGGGCTCGCTGAGCACCCTCCAAGGCTCAGTGCGAGACACTGTCCCCTCACTTGAGGCTCTTGTGCACGGGGTCCATGGGCAGCTACCTCCAAGTGTCTCTTCCCCCATCACCTTGCTGGGGGCTGCTCCCTCACACAGGCTGTTCCTCTGTCCAGGTTATCCTATGGTATATTCAGCTTCATCTGACCACTCCAGTGAATAAGTTACCTCCTCCAGGAAGCCCTCTGACCGGAAGCAAAGTGTCCTCTACCAACTACCGGCAGCCGGAGCTCCCTCCAGCACAGCACTCACCACCCTGCGCTGGGCCTGCACTTTCCCGTCGTCCAGTCCAGCTGGTCGGCCCCCTGGGCTAGCAGCGCCTTACAGTTTCTGACACTGACGGGTCCTTCTGTTGAGCTAAGCAGTTATCACAGGTTTCCGCAGCTGTTGAGGAAAAACATTCGAAAGGGATGTCTGGAGGGGGCAGAAAACACACACAACTTTCTCATACCACTGCCCGTCTTTCGATGAGCACCAAGCCGGCGGGTCAGGGCACAGACTGCAGCCTTTGCCCTCTGCAGGGAGGAAGGTGGCCTCACCAGCCAGGAGCGGCCCCTCGGGGACCAACTTCAGGCAGCCTCGGCCAGGCCGCCCCTTCCC